TGTATGATCTATTAGTGTTGCAAGTGCCATAAAACTCTTACTATACCGGTAATAGCCTACTAACAGAAACAAAATCGAGATCTAGGCCTCTAGAAATTTTGTCCGACGGGCACAAAACATCTTGGCCGTGTGTATTTCTTCCTCTTTTCCGTGCCGCACAACAGCTGTACCAGGTTCTTTTGTATCTGACTTCTGAAAAAAATTAATGTCAACGTGTTTTTTATGTCCCCATCGTCATAATTAAGATCATTTAGGGAGCGGGTTTGGACCCTGCCTGTCAGGACCGAACCGGGCTGCAAAGGATATAACGTCCCAGCAGAGAGAGAGAGAGAGATACAGAAACTCGATAAAAAAAATTCTCCTCACATAGATATCAAGCTAGGTCTTTAGCGTGCGACGGCGAAACGCCAAACCTAGATCTAGTGCGGCTACTCAAGCTAGACCGCTCTGGCTTCTTTAGTGCTGGGCGGCAAGGTTCCCGATTATTGAAAGCTAGGAATCATAGGAATCGACTCCGAACCCAATTACTTACTTTCAAATGACGTGATTTCTACCGGTGGTTACCTGGTTGGCTCAAAACATCTTCAGGATTTAGGATAATCTTGATTTCGGAACACTACGAAGCATCAACTTCTATTTTTACAAAAATATTCTTTTAAAAAAAAATTTAATGATAAAAGTAACTGGTTACCGTTGGTTACGTAAAAAGGAGACGGAACTTTACTTCCGTAGTATTAATTGTGGGAATCGGTTCCGGAATCGACTCTTCGCCCAGCTCTAGCTTCTATACGTTCTTACTACTCTGACCGTCTCGGCTCTGGCCTAACCTCTTCACAACAGACTCTGGTCTGAATCCTGTAGATCTTATGCAAACTATGCGGTAACATTAGAGGATAACATTATGCCCCTGCCTAGGCCCATGAGATCGCGTGCTGAGAAACTTGGCTCCCATCGCAGACCCTAATGCCAGATCTTATAAATAAATACCCAAGTCATTCTGCCCCAGGAGAGGAGTGGGCGTGAGCTCTCATTCCCTGCGCGCCGCCACACAGCCACTTAATTACCACACACTGATACCACACACGCACACACTTGCTTACTCACGCACACAAGCACGCACACACATGAAAACAGACACAGATCATGTATGTTATATGGCACTGATATCATGCACAGCCACACACCATACAATATCAAATTACACTCACGCACACACCATCAAACATTGACACCGCACATGCTCATACACACACGTAGTCAAACTCCGATATTTTTAAACACACGACAAACAAACATACACACACACACACACACACAGACACACACACATACACACACACACACACAAACACACACACACACACACACGCACGCACAAACACACGCGCGATCGCGAGCAGGCCAACAACCTAGTCAGATTGGTAAACGAGCTTCGCCAGGACGAGGAAGTTTGATGTTGGACCAACGTTGAGCACAATCTGTAGTAAAGTGATACGACCCATCACTGGTGAACACAAACGATGCGAGCTCAACTCCTGTGTTGGAATGAAGTATGCTATATTTATCGAATGTCATGAGATACTGTATTCAACTAAGTTTTGGTTCACGCTGAGAGACAGGGTCGTCAAACATATGTTTGAATGTCCAGGAACAATGGCAATTCGAATGGCGTTACATGTATTTGGACGAGTGGAGGTGCCTCTAAGCATAATGACAATGGAGCCGAAAAAGAACCTCGCTCTCGATCGAAGATTTCTTCGTGGAGTCCACCAGGCCCATTAAGGAAACAAAAACAAAAAAGCATCATCATCAAGCATCATCATCAAGCATCATCACCATCAACATCAGCTTTCCAATCTCTGTGCCGCAGTAAAGGCCATCAACAAGAACTCTCCATGTACTTCTGTCCTGGGCTATAATCTCCCCTTCTGTCCAGCTGCATCCTATTTTCTATAGGTTCGAACCTTAACCCCCCCCCCCCCTCTCAAGTATTTTCCAGCCTTCTTCTCTTTCTCTTTGCTTATGTCAGCTTCTAAATGATCGAACTAATATTGTGTCAATGACCGCGAAAAACATTTAAATAAATCTCAGAATTGCGGAATGTCGTCATGTATAATATCATTACAAGGAAAACAGATCTGGGAAATAATTTATGATTGTAATGAGGTTTTGACTGTTTAATGTGCTAAAAACCCTGAGAGCAAAATTGTTTTCGAGAGAAAAAACTGTCATTCATTTAACAATTAGATCTATACCCACATTTAAGTGTCTTTTCTTGATCTTTTCAACCTTTAAATTTTGAATTTTATCAAAATATTTCACGAGTGCACGCAACCGACATCACTGATAATACATACAGCAATCTAAAAATAATGACAATAATAACATTAGAGGCGTAGTATTCTACATCTGAACACCTGGCAGACGAATGTCCTGTTATATCTTTACCTGCTGCGTGTGCTTGCAGTGGCGTGGCATGTGTGGGCTTGCTCCATCTCTGCGTTACCCTCTCTCTCTCTCTCTCCCCCCCCCCCCTCTCTCACTTTTTACACATTGTTAACGAGCCTTTGTCCCTGCTATCACCAATTGGATTCCGATGAGGCCCTGTTATTGCCGATAACTTCCAATACAGACAAAGAGTAGGAAAAAACGGGAATTTAAAAAATCCGTCATTACCAGATCCCTGTGATTACCAGGCTTGTTATATATGGTTTCCACTGTAATCTAATTTGTGTTGCTGGGGTGCATGCATGATACACGAACAATCAAGTATGTTGAAAGGTTACTCTTTCTTTCATTCAGTCTCATCACTCTCGTAGAGTGGGTGGTTGGCGGATGCTGTGACGTGGTTCACTCCTTCTTTAATAAATAAAAAAACCTATGTCCTTATTTCTCCTCCTGCTTTTCTTTAAAGGCTGCTTTCTAGCAGCACCCCTAATCTTCAGTTTGTGTTGAGACAGCCATACAACTTTTACTAAACGTAAACCTTAGAAGAGGTCAAAGTTAAAATAGAGTGAAGGAAGTAAGTGTATGGGTTTAATACCCCAATCAACAATTTAAGAGGCGGGACCTCCGAATTTGAAGTCCAGCTCCATAGGACCAAGCCAAATAAGTTGAGAGCCTCGAAAACTCCACAAAACATTCCGAGTTCAAGAAAAACCAGTCTGAGATTTGAACCAGGATCATCCGCTCTGAAGTCCAGCATGATACCAAGTGAGCCCGTAAAAAGAAACCAACCATAAAATGGAGTAAGGATAAAACCATTGAGGTGGATCAACACTGCTTTACCTTGTTCAAAGTAACCTTTCTTTGCCCCCCCCCCCCCAGGGGCAGTGCCACTGACTGAAGTGTCTTTAGGCCATTCCCAGAGGGGGGGGGACATATCTCGTTCAAGCATAGAAGAATTGTAAATGGGCCGACTCATGTCAAGATCATAACTGTGCCTGATCTACAACAGGGAACTGCTGCTTTTTCTTTCCTGATCCTTACTATTGTCATTTTCCTCTACTTCTTTTGTATGTTTGTCACTACCTTGTGACCTGCTATTTTGGGGTGCCTTGATAGTCAAACAGACCTTGTGCTGTTGAAGCTAGAGAGGTGAGCAGTGTAAGTCCGATTCCCTGTAGAGACCTCTGTTGACACCCATCCCTTGGCGCTCATATGACCTTATGCAGTTGCGAGCGCCGTAAAACCCTCTACTTTAAAAAAAACAACCTTTTCTTTTCATCCTTAACACAACACGTCTACCAGCATCTGCGGAGTAACTGTTCAGTGCTTCCCAGTCACACAGAGAAGACCTCAGTTCAATTTCTGGGTGGGTAGAACTTTTATCGAGTACATGGTATTTCCATTCCATCTGACTGGTGCGAAGTTGTATTCCTCTCATCAAAGGTGAATGTAAGAAAAAGGACCTCAAATTTCACAACAATCTAAGATAGCAAAAAGCCCTGCAGCAGGTAGAGAGCCATTAAAATTTTCAAACACCCCCCTCCCAAAATAAAAATCACTCCACTAATAGAAGTACAATTTAAACTGGTCGCTTTTAAGGACAAGTGGGCCAACCCTGATTTCGGGGGTTTTCAGGAATCTTGACCTACACCAAAAGTGGGCATTGCCCTACCTATAGCAGAAGCTTGGCTTCATTGATGTGTATATTTGTTTGGTAAAAGAGAAAACTCTTCTTGTCTTTTAATGAAACTGAACAAGGGGCAAAAACTTAACCTTCGATTTTCTCGAAACACGATTTTTCAGGATAGCCCACTTGTCCTTAAAAGTGACCAATTGTCAGACGCCTATCTGTTGTTGAGGAGAAAAGAGGTTGTCTTGGACAGGTGGACGTCTTGGACAGTGTCGTTACAATAAAGAAAAAATTATAGGGGAGAAGTGTTTAGTTTTAGTAAGAGTTTTACGGCACTTGCAACACAATAAGGTCATATAAGTGCCGAAGAATAGATGTGTTACAAGAGAGTAACATACACAAAAAAGAAGGAAGAGAGATAAGGACGATATATGTTTGATAGGAAAGAAGGAGCAAACCACACCAGAGCACCCGCCAAAAACCCACAGGGGGGGGGGGGGGGAGTGGAAAGTCCTCGTCTGCACAGATGATTGATTGTCTTGGGCAGGTGGCTGTTAGTAGAACAGGAAGGACTGCACTGCTGTAAGCTGACAAAACGCCTTTTTTCTTCACAGAAGTTTCGAGAAAAGGAGTTTTTCTGTCAGTGTGATTCCGAAATTGGAATTCTAATTTATTCAAAAACTAGTCACAGCTTCACTTTGACTTTTTTCATATAAGTAGGGTAACCGATCAGGCTTTCGATTTAGCAAATGAAAAATTTTGGCGCCAAAATATAAAAAAAAGGTGTTTAGTCAGCTTTCGGCAGTATACTCCACAGACTCAGGTAACAAACACTGACGGAGACAGAGACAACAAAGCTTAGTGCAAAAGTGGAAGAAAGCACATGCATATTCACTTGACAACAGAAATAAAGAGCTCTTACTTCTTTCATTATTATTTTTTTTTACAAAATAGGAGTTTAATGAGAGAGAGCCTATCAGTTTATATATAAAGATATATATGCACTGGTTAGCAGACGTAACAAAACTAGCAAACATTAACAAACACTTTAAAACATAGTTTACAGAACAGACATTCCCACAAAACTGATAAACACATTTGTTTAATACGCAACTCTCAACCATAGCACACATAATGTGAATGAACACACACACACACACACATATATATATATATATGTATAACTTGCTAATAATATTTTGTTTTTTCTTCTCTCAAACAGCAAATTGAGCAGTGACAATCAAGCAAGTGACGCAACAGAGGGCTAAAAGTGACATCCCAACTGGAAAAGGCAGAGGGGGAAAAGATCCACCTGAGATTGAGGTAAACGGAAGTAAAGAGGAAAAAGAAACGTTTGGAAGCTGGCACTCTAGTTTTGATTTGTAAAGCCATTCTTAAATGCATGGGAATAATTTTAAAAAAGCAAAACACCATGCACTGAAAAATATTTTCTTACTATAAACAAATCAATATTCGTCTTCAGAATCTCCGACTATTTATTCTCTACCTATGACGACAAGACAACTTCTTGGTCTTCCAAGTTGAAAATTACACAAAGTGCGGAGAAAAACACCAACGCCCTTACTGGCTACAAAAGCGGTGAGAATAAACTAAGAGGCACACACAATAGCTACAGCAGTGAACACACAAACAATACTTTTCATGAAACATAAGAGAAGCACAAAGTGAAAATATCACAAAGAGTCTACACAGCCACTCCAACACACAGCAGTTACCACAGTCTGATCACATGAGACAAAACACGGAAATGTGCATAAATAAGCAGATCTATTTCCAGTCAAATTAAAAATTAAAAAAAAACACCTTAGGGATAATTTTCAGCCACACAACGGCAAGTGTTTTTTTTCTCCTTTTTCATGTTAAAAAAAAGTGGTTTGATAATTATATAAGAAAACAAGCATAAAGCTCCCAGACAGAGTATTTATTGAGTTTATAGTTAAAAGCCATAATGACATGAATGGAAAAAGAGAAGAAAACAAAACTTAAGTAAGAGCAGAGAGGCATATGTACAATGATGTGACATGAAGTAATGAGAAAAAATACACAATAAAAATATAATTATTATATATATATATATTTTTTTCCCTCTGCTCAAGTAGCAAAGTAAAAATCTCTTATTTCTTAATAAAAGTGTAGCTTGGTAGATCTTAGACTCCTTGTGCTGTGTGCTAATAGAGCACAAGACTGCAATCATTGAAAACTATGAGTGACAAAATGCCTATTCTATAATATAATATAATATAATATAATATAATATAATATAATATATCATATTTTTGTGTCAGGGTCTTCAACAAAGAAATAAACCTTTGCATGATCACAACGGCCCGCACACGATATAAAAATTCCAACAACAAATAACGATGATGGTTCCCTAAAATCATATGGGCCCTGCGTGTATAAGATGATCTACACAATCAGGTAAGCACATTTCAGTCGTCCTTCCTAGTGGAGCACATACCATCGACTGACACGCAGTTTTGTTGGCAGCTCATCCATCTACTCTACACCACAAGTGAATCATGTTGATAGCACCTTTTTGAAATATGCAGTACGAACTAATATTAAAAATAAAAATGATCAAGAGACTTTCACATAACACACATTCACCCATTGCAAAAGATAAATGCGGTAGCGAAAACTTGGTAGAACTAAAAATAATAAAAATAAATTAATAAATTAAATTGGGGAAAGTGGAAGAAAAAATATTTTGTCAACCAATATTGATAAATAAGAGTTTATGATCTCACTCAAAACCTACAAAGTTCAGTATATACAAATAACAGATTACATTCGAGAAAAGTCCTAAACTGAGAGTACACTATTTTCTTTAAAACAAAATCACGGAACAACTTTGCATAGTTCAAACTGTTTCACACAAGCTTCAGGAGAAAAACCTGATGGCTTTTGTAGAAACCAGGAGTCACTCTCTCTCCTACTACTTCTAAGAACAAGAGTTTTAGTTCCACGGTCATCTTCTTGATGACAAATGTCTCTTTCTTAATTTTATTGGTTAAAAAAATACATGTGATTTTTTCACAACAATGCATTATTGCATATATTTACTTTATTTCAAATATGAAAATGTCATGGTAACCATTGTAAATAAAAACATTTACAAAAAATGTCCTATCTAGCTACTGTATAAAGTTGTTATTGTACATGGCAGTTATAAGGAAATCGTTTCTCCTTGGTTTTGTACCATTTAAAAGAATCAGGAAAAAGTATTCTCTTCGAACAGACACAAATGACCGACGGGTTGTACAAATGAGCACACAGATGTATGTACGTCTGCAGATGGTAACAGAAAAAGAAAACCCTAAAAAATTCATCTGGGAGCTATGTCTGTCATTTTAACTTCAGGGCTTGGTAGATAAGTATTAGTCAAAAGTAACAGCAGAGTTAATCTACTGTTTCATCAACGTTAAAGACAAAAATGTTCAAAAACTTTGCCTTCTATCGATGGACTGTTAAAAAAACAACTTTTCATTTGTTTTTACTTTTCAACAATTTTTACACACCCTGAAAACAGATAGATAGATACTTTCTTAAATAAGATCTTGCACTTGCATATATATCTATCAATACATCCTTCATCAATTCCTAAGTAAGAGATTTTGTGCTGAGACGTGAGAGGAACAGCAAAGCTGTAGTTTACTGCACATCTACAGCGAACGGGCTTCCAGGGATGTCCTGGTCTCCCCAGCGGATGATGAGCATGTAGCGTCCACTCTCCTTGACCATATACTGGACAGCGTATTGCAGGTTGCCCTGGTGTTTGACCACCAGCTCGTCACAGGGACCCTTAGGACCCATCATTCCGATGTACATGATGTTGTTACCTGTGGGAGCACCAAAGAGATGGGTAAGAAAACCAATCTACAGAAAACCATTCAGTCTTACCTGTCCAACAAAATCACCCATTATCGAGGAGAAAAGTGGTCATCTTAGACAGGTGAGTCCTCTTCGACAGTGTTGTACTTTTATATTAATAATATGTATTGTAAAAACATAATCTTGGGTGAAGTGAGCAGTGGTCATTTGTACAGGTAATTATCTTGGGCAGGTGTGCGATAGAGCTGGTTTGACTGTATTATTTGCATGAGCTAAGTTCAACTAGAGACAGTCAGTAAGGGCATATTGTCTGGCCACATGTATAGAATGCCAGATTTAAAAGATGCATTATTTTCAGAATTGGTTAAAATAAACTTTCTTGGTTAATAATTTAGTCACTTCCTATGCTTTAATCTTTGAGTAGGTTTTTAAAAGTACAATTTGGATTGGTACAAAGTCATTTTTTAGTGCTTAGATAGGTCTTTAAAAAATTCTAAGTTATAAAATGCAAACTGGATACAAAAGAATCTATAGCTAGCTAATTATACTCGGAGATATTCAGAGAACAAGAGAATAGCCTTTATCTTCATTCAACTTTTTAAATTCTGGGAACGTAAAATTCCGCAGCACTCCTTGCAATCACCAAAAAAACCACCTAAGTGTCTCATCAGTTTGTATCATGCTGGGCTAGAGAGCAGATGGCCTTAGTTCAAATCCCCAATGGGGCATTCTGAACTTAGTTGGGGTTTTTTTTGGAAGCTTTTGAAGCTCTCCACCCCTTTGGCTCAGCGGAAGTTTAAATTGGGGGTCCCGCCCCTTAAATAACTTGACAGAGCTGAGACCTATACAGTTTTGCAAACAGGATCTCATCACTCACCAGCACCAGAAGCATCAACAGTGAAAGTGGCAGTCTTGCCGCGGAAAGCCTTGGTGAGGCCGTTGCCCTTAGCGGTGACCTTGCTGGCATCGGAGCTGAAGCGCTGGATGCCGCTGAAGCGGGTGGTGGTGCTGGTCTTGGTGACTGTCTCCACAACCACGGAGGCGTGCTCCTGCATCGCGCTGGGCTGACCTTGACCTGGAGGGGGGACAAAATTGATTGTTATTAACTTACTCAATCTGATATGAACAAGAAGAAGACGGAACTGAATGAGAAGGCTCGATCCGAGTCTGAACAAAATGGATAGTTAACAACCTACTCAATCTGAATCCGAACAAATTGATATAAGAAAATCTGAATCCCATAATTGTTGCAAGAGAGATTTTATTATCTTGGACCCTGCTCATCCAATCCTAATGTGATAATTTTTTCCAACTTTTTTGTGTGCAAAGATCTAATAAACACTTTTTGTTCTTATCAACATTTTATCATGCTATCAGCAAAGCGACATTTACCTTTTCTCAAGAAATGATCTAAAAACCTTTTTGATTCTATTGTTTAATAAGGAAAAATGCATACAACAAAGGACAAAGCACAATGATAAGTCTCCCCGTGAAATAATACCTTCGATCTTGGCCTTGAAAGGACTGCCAGCAACGTTGACGCCGGCGTATCTGATGCAGATCAGGTAGTCACCAGGAGCAGTGGGGTTGTAGCTGAACTCATAGCCCTCATCAACCTTCAAGGGACAAAAAAAACCCCACATTAATGCCATGCACAGCTTTTCATACTTTTCCATTAAATATTTGTTTAAAACTGAACTAATCCATGTGTTTTTGTTTGTTTATCTCTTCTTCTCTGGACAAAACCGGAAAAAATAGCAAATACCCATGTTTCAGTATAATAAATCCCTCAAGGGACTAAAATAGTAATTCAGCCCAGTGAGTGATATATTATTAAGTCAAGTTTTATTTTCTTAATCTTAAATTTCGTCAGTAGCAATCCACTAGTCATAAAGTACAAGTATTTTATGAAGTTTGGTTGAATCATACTCACACTTTGCTCAAAGAATATCCAGAATACAGGTTTGCACTTTCAAATAAGGGAGTCTTGTTTGTCTATCTTCTGCAGCTTCCAACAACAAACCTTTTATTCCCTTTTCCTCTTCTCAAAGCTATCAATATTCTCTATGAATATAAAATGATGAACTTTTCTGATCACATGAAAATGTGCACAAGAGATTCAAAATTTACAGCTCAATTTGTTTAAGACTGTCTTCACATAAAGCGCAAACAACTTCTCAACACTCTGTCTAATAACTGAAGCCTGGAAAAATCCGGACAATATCAGGCATCTGAATTTTCGGATTTATGAGGAAATTCAGCCCCTGTGATAAATATAATAACTCTTTGGTGACTGACCTCGGTGCACTCCAGTTTGACCTTGGACGGTCCCTCCACGGTGACGGCCAGGGAGCCAGAGCCGGCATTGACGGTGTTCACGATGAACTTGGCCACCTCACCTGCACACACACACAAACAAGCTTAGTTAAGTAGGAGTTTTACGGCATTTGCAACACAATAAGGTCATATAAGTGCCGAAGATTAGAGGTGTTACAAGAGAGTAACAAACACAAAAAAGAAGGAGGGGAGATAGAGACGACAGATGTTTTTTATAGGAAAGAAGGAGCAAACCACACCAGAGGACCCGCCAACCACCTATTCACACAAACAAAATGTATCACATTATTGTTTGTTTGATTAAAGAAAAGCATACTGACACAATCATGGTCACTTAGTGCTGGTAAAAAGTAAGAAAGACACACACAAACAACAGAGAGGGAAAGTAAAGAAGTAGGACCTACCAGTGGCGCCCTCAAACCATCCGCTTCGCATAATGTTATAACACTGCTTAACAGTGACCAAGAGGAAAATGATAAAGAGGAAAACAATAACTGCTTTTGTTCGTTTTGGTTTTTTTTAAGTGTCTTAACAGATACAAATGAGGTAAGTTCAAAGTAAAAACCTAAAGCCAGCCATAAAAGGAATGAAAGAAGAAGAAGACAGCGTATAAAAGGAATGAAAGAAGAAGAAGACAGCGTATAAAAGGAATGAAAGAAGAAGAAGACAGCGTATCCTACAAAATATACCTCAGTCCCATTTCTATAGGTACAAATATTAGCAGAATGTTCATGTGTGCATTATTCCAGTGCTTGAAAGGTTGTACCTCCTGTTGGTGTTTAGTGGATCTATTTGTAATCTCCAATCAACAGGAGAGAAAAAAGGAAGTAAGTGATATATATCAAAGAACAAGTAAAAAAAACTGAGCTCAGCACCTGATGGGCAATATATATACATTATATGTAAATGTACATACATGTACCACCTCTATGTTTACCCATCCCCAAAAATGATAAAAGACCAAATACCTGTCTTGCCAGTCTTGAGACCATCTCCATAGGCAGTGACTTTGCCGGCATCAGCATCGACCTTGCCAACACAGATCTTGAAGGGAGACTCAGGGATGTGGTAGTTGTCAAACAAAACATGGACCAAGTGGACTCCATTCTCCCTAGGGATGAACCTCACAGCGTACTGACCTGAAAGGAAAAGGGAAGAAGTGATAAATACTAATAAGAAATCTACTGTTTTCCATCTGCCTTATGTAAGCCAGTTGGAAACTGTAAAGAAAGGCTCTTTATCAGGTAGCAGAGCAGAAGATATTCACCGTCAGTATTAAAACAATGGGTTGGGGGAAAAAAACGGCAACCATTATTTAATGTCTTTTCTAATTTAGTTTACCCTGAGGTCGCAAGAAAGATTTCTTCACTGTTGACTACTATGCATCTTCTTATTTCTTCGCTGTAGAGTCAGTATCTTTTTCTGTTCTGTTTTGGATTTTAATTATTCATCCGTGCACTGAAGCCCCCCAAAAAAGAAAAGTTAAGACAGGAACTAATTTCACATTATGAGGCAAGAACATTTGGTGAAGGTATGAAGCCTCCAACAGGTAAACAGGATGCACCTGACACTGTTTATTCATATATAAGTGAAAGGGAAATAACCAAATAATTGTCAGGCTGGCTGGCAGAGAGAGGAGTTGCCATTGAGAGAGAGAGAGAGAGAGAGAGGGAAAGAGGGAGAGGGAGAGGGAGAGGGAGAGGGAGAGAGAGAGAGGTGTTGCTCCATTCTGGGAAAATGCATATTTGTACTGGAATCTTACAAGAATTCACGAAGATGTTCAGGTCACGTCACAGAAAACAAAGCAGGAAAATAGGCTAATTAGCCCCCCCCCCTCAGATAAAATTTACATTCAGGCATACCCAAAACATCTCCCTGGAAAAATATTGCATAAGAGTTTGCATGAAAATCAACTTCTTAACAAAAACCTAAACATTTAAATTCAGTTTTCCATATTTGAACAGCACCATGGTCATGCTATGGCCACCAGCAGCCTTGAGACAGTATGTTGGTAAATGAAAGCCACAGTGGAAAACCAGGTTGATGTCACATTTTCCAAACAACTGAAAATTATATACATCCAGAGACTTCCTGTTTCTTTCACGCGTGGAATTCCAGAAGATTTTGGTGATCCTCTACTGAAATATATTCATTTACTGTCTATTTCAGACAGGTTTCATTTTTTTTCTGTCATAATTAATTATGTTGCACAGTGGGGAATTGAAGAAAAGGACTATGGTATAGTGTTAAGCGCATAGAGCTTGTTTTCGAGTGGGGACATGCGCTATACAAATTTATGCTATTTATTATTATTATTATGGACTCCAGCAGTTTTTCTCCTGTACTCTTCCCACAAGTTTACAGTGCCATGTCCTCACCGTCATCAATCTCCTGTACCAGGGCCTCCTCCTCAGTGCCGGAGGGAGACACCACACGGGCAGACAGGCGGCCCTTAGCACCGTTGAAGTTGACCACAAATGCTGCTGGTTTACCAGCCTGAAAACATAGAAAGTATTTAATTTATTAATGTATAAATAAACAGAAAATAAAACATTTATATATTTTTTGCCATTCAATTTTATGTAAGACTCTAGAAGACACAGACACACAATGTACAAATAAGTCACAAATTCTCACTTTGTTCTGTGTTGACCCACACTCAACACACTAAGACAATCAGGTTTCAATCATTGTCTCATGGCTAATGCAAGAATATATAATAAGATGTATTGCTGTTAATAAAGCTGATCACAGTATGAAGAGCCTCAGTGTAAGGGAAATAACCATATATTATAACTACAGACAGGGAGATTTCATTTTAAAAAATAATAAAAGCTCCACTCTTTTCTGTTACCAATTAATAAAGACATCACATCTTTCCATCTCTATCTCACAATAAGCCACAGACATGAAACCTTTCTGTGGGTGGTTGGCAGGTGCTCTGGTGTTGTTTGCTCTTTCTGTCCTATCATACATCTATCATCCCCAACACTTATATAAACAAATTGTACTGCTAGTGCTGTAAAGCTCGTAGTCGTACTAAAACTAAAACTACCAGCTGTCTCTATGACTCACCTGGAGTCCTCTGTCCTGCAGAGATTGCACAGAGAGCTTTCTGGCATCTCCGATGGAAGGCGTGATGTTGACACGGAAGGGAGAGTCGGGGATGTGCTCGTCGTTGAATTTGACTGACACGTAGTACTCTCCTGGAAAACACATCCAGCACAAGCACGTGAGAGAAGAGGACCAAGTGACACACACACACACAAAAAACATATATTGAAAACAAATAATTTCTCTTATAACCAATGACAAAATATAATAACTGCTGCCATACAGCAATTTGTCTTGAACACACATAAGAAAGGAAAAATATAACAATGGATTTGTATAGACAGTTTTCCAGCCAAACTACTTACAACTTTACTTTACTTTACTTTTCCGATCCAGCAGCCATTTCAGTTCTAGCCCTTCGGCCTGGCAACTACTTACAAAGAAATTGGAGCTGGCTATAAAACGTTTGACGAGCACTGCCCTAAACTGATCAATGTATGATGCCACAGACCTGGTTCTGAGACTTGGTAGGTGACGTTGCAGGATCCGTCCTTCTTGTCCTGGAAGTCAATCTCAGCCTTAGAGGGACCTTCCACAGCGATGGACAGACCTCCAGCACCGGCCTCACGGGTGTAGATGTTGAAGTCGGCTGTGGTGAGAACAACAAGTCTATTCATGAGGGTTTTGTCAGAAAAACCTGTCACTTCAACACAATTTGGGTCAATGCCCATAATATAATCAATACACTACAATAATGGCCTTAATCTGACTTTACTAAAATAAAAATTAAACTGATCCACTGTGGCCTTTTTTCTGCTAACCAAAAAGGAAATTTGCCCAAAAATTTCAAAGTAATAATAAAATATTCTTAATTATAAAGAAACCATTTTGAACTGAGTCAAGAAAAATAGAAATCGGGAGTCATTCGATGTTTTACTAAAATCTGAAGTATGGTTTAAGGCCATTATCGTAGAACATTGATTATATGATATAGATATTATATAAGCTCCAAATAAAAGATGCTGTGGTCAACGTTCATATTAGTGGTGTCCTTAATGGCACGTTTGTAAAATTGTTCATTATGATTAAATGCTTGAGTTTGAGTAGAGTATTGTGACACACTGGTGTAATCTCTGAATGATTCTGTAAGAATTGTTTATAATATGCCATTGCAACCCAAATGTTCAGATGGGAATAAATAAGAATAGAATTTCTCTTTCTTTTTTCCCCTTTTTACTCTGAAGAAGAAGTCATGAAGTTTCAGGGAGAAGCAATCACCAATTCTATAGGCTATATCAGTAACCATCCTTCACTACTCAAACAAATGGGACCTACATAGCACATGGTGTTTTCCATCCTTTGTTTTAAATACTGACTTTCTCAAAAGAAGTTGGAACTTTTCCTTTAAAAAATTAATTTATCTGTAGGTCTTTAAGCTTACTAATATTAATTACAAATTGTTCTCCTATTGTCCCAGGTAGAAAAAAAAATAACATAATATATAAAAAAGAAGACAAACAAATGTAGAAATGCTTTTTATATTTGTCCCCCCCACAGTCCCTAGTTACGTACCGGGCTGATCAACTTCTCCTCTCTCCAAACCAGGACCAGCAGCGTGAACCTTGTGAGAGCCACCACCAGCAATAGGGCCAACGGTGAACTCGAACGGGCTTCCTGTGATGAGAAAATATACAGAATTATGTTAAATTTTAGTTTAGCTTTTTAGTGAGAGTTTTATGGCACTTACAACACACTTAGCTTAAATAAATGCCGAAGATTAGACGTTGATACTAGATGTTTTAGTTTTAGTAAGAGTTTTATGGAACTTGCAACACAATAAGGTCATATAACTGCTGAAGATTAGAGGTGTTACAAGAGAGTTACAAACATAAAAAAGAAGGAGGGGAGATGCGCGGGTGTGGGGAGTTCGTGAATCAGAATCAGCAGACGTATGCTGTCATTCATCCCACCAAACCCCAGAGACGATAGACTTTTTATAGGAAAGATGGAGCAAACCACACCAGAGGACCCGCCAACCACCCACTGATGCTACATAGTAACAGAAAATAAAAGGAGGAGAGATAAAGAAGACAGATATATTTTGAATAGCAAAAAAAAGGACAAAACTACACCAGAGAACTGGCCAACCACAAGACATAATTAATTAGGTTACACTCTGAACATAAAAACCAAAGTGGAGAGCTTTTCAACTTTCAAACAATCTCAGCCTTACCCCATCCAATATTTCTCTCTCTCTCTCTCTCTCTCTCTCTCTCTCTCTCTCTCTCTCT